CAGAAAAAGCCAGAAGTGGTGCTGTGGCTCAAGTGGTAGAGCGCTAGCCTTGAGCTGAAGAGCTGAGGGACAGCGCCCAGGCCCAGAGTTCAGGCCGCGTGACCAACAGAAAAAAAAATCATTGGATGTATGGATGTATGGGGAAAATAGTATCTTAAAAGAATGTCACACATCAATTTCTCTTTCATTAAATTTGACTGTTTTCTAACCCTGAACTGCCTTTGTCACCCCACCAGCTTTTGTCAAACACATCATGTCCGTGTAAATGGAGCTCTTCAGGTACCTACCTGTCCTCTCTTTCATAAATACAGCTTTGGCTAAAGTTTACATTTTTTAATTCTTTTGTTTGCAAGTAATAGGTATGTTTCAGTGGCATGAACTTGGAGATGTAATTTCTTGGCCTACCTGGGAGAAATAAATAAAACATTGCCAAAATGCAATAAATAAATAAATAAGGAATTCTCAATATTGTATTTTTAAAATTAACAGCTTTAAATGCTATTAATATAATCAGAATTGGTTTATACTATCAATATAATCAATATTGGCTCCTAATGAAGAGTCATTAAGCACTGGCTCCTTTTGTGCTCATACTTCGTTTGCACATTATTTTCTCCTGAATTTTCTGCCTGGAAAGATTGGATCAACATCTCACTCACTTTCCTTCTCCTTTACAGAACAAGCACTTGTTGGAACCTTATTTCAATAATACTCATAACTGACTGCCCAGATCTGTTTACTACCATTCAGAAAACAAAACAAAACAACCTGGACCATTGAAAATGGAAGGATTCCCTGGATTTTTATATGCCTTAAGTTTTTTTTTTTCTCTGCTGCTGTATACAAGAAGAATAAAAGGTTGACAATCAATCCAAGTACCATCTTTATTATCTACCATGGGTCCACAAGCATCCCTAAAATACTACATCAATAAACAGAATTGGTCAGTCTAAAATATCCCAGTGTTTTTATTTCCTTGTTTTATAAAAATAATTTCTGAAACCTCAATTTTTGTTAAGTATCCAAAATATTAATAAATTACAAATTATTTATTGAAGACTACATAGCAAATACAAATTATTGAAAAGTGTGAAATTTAAAAATCGGATAGGGGAGGTGGCGCTGTGGCTCAAGTGGTAGAGAGCTCACCTTGAGCTGAAAAGCTTAGGGACAGCGCCCAGACCCAGAGTTCGAGCCCCATGACAGATAAAACACAGAAAGAAAAAGAAAAAAAAATCAGATAGGGGGCTGGGAATGTGGCTTAGTGGTAGAGAGCTTGCCTAGCATATGTGCCCTGGTTCTTCTATTCCTCAGTACCACATGAATAGAAAAAGCCAGAAGTGGTGCTATGGCTCAAGTGGTAGAGTACTAGCCTTGAGCAAAAGAAGCCCAGGGACAGTGCCCAGGCCCTGAGTTTAAGCCCCAGAAGTGGAAAAACAAAAACAAAACCAGATAGGATCAAGATACATTTCAATATAAACTAGCCATGCAATTTAAGGTAAAAGCAGGGCTCCTCAGATTTGTATAAATTGCTATGACCCTCTAGTTCATGTAACAATCTGCCCTATTAGTAAACTCTACCAAGCCCTTGATCCTGCTTGCTGTATGACTTAAAGGACAAAATTCAAAATGGTCTCTCTGGGAATAGGATGATTGTTCAACAACTCAAAATCCCATTTATCAATAGTCTCTCTCCCACTATGTTCTTCGCTATTTCGCTTAGTCATCTCCTGAAATCTCGGCTTAGTCTCTTGGTACATATAAAAAAAATCACTAAGACTAGTAGGAATGTTTTTTAGAAGGTATTTATTTTACCATCTTAGAATTCTACCATCTTTTCCTCAGAACAGAATGGGAGAGTTAATAGTTATATAGTTAGAAAGGATGAGTGAGAAATTAGTTATCCTTATTTCTCAAAAGATACCTTTAATGTTTACTGTTATAAAATTTCTGAAAGGTGTCTGCCTGCTTATACATTTTAAAAAGTGGAAATAATTTTTGTTTTCTGATGTTGGCAGCTGAGGTCCCCAAGCTCCTTCTATTAAGTCTTTTAGATACCAGTGTTAGCCAGCACTTAGAATTTAACCTATACACACACCAAGAATGCTGCTGGGAAAATTTCAATCACATTTTTTAAGGCAAATAAACTATGGCCTCGTGAATTTGAAGGCCAAGTTTATCTAAAGATCAGAAACTGGAATTATCGCATAGTAATATCTGATAAAAACCTTCTGTGAAAATACTACCTACCCTGCCCTTTTGTAACTACTAGACACATATGGCTACTGAGAACTTACACTGTTGCTAAGAACTGAATTGTTAATTGTCTTTTTTAAGTTATTTAAAACTTAAATTTACACATGTATCACCACCATATTGAACCTTATACTTTTTTAGTTGCTATGTCAGATCGTTTTTTAAAAAATAAAGTTCACAATGTAGAGAAAGTGATATAAATAATTTAATAACAGGCTCATTTTTTGTTTTAAAATATGTGGCTGATGTCCTTCTTCTACCCCCCTTTTAAATTAGAGAAACCTGATGTCTACAGAGTACTAAATCATTAGTCTTACAATTTATATAATGCCTTTCTCTCAAGACTTAATAAAACTGCATTAACCTCCAATAGGATAACATCTACTATACTGTCATAGAACCTAACCTTATTGAATTACCATGTGTGAAATGCCCATAACTCAAGTAACAGCAGGTGCAAAATAGAGAAGCAGGCAGAAAAGTGACAGTAATTTTTAACATCCACACCAGCTGGCAAGAAGGACAGGTGTCTAATTCCTCAGTCTTTAAAAATAACTTTTGAAAAGCCTACACTGCAGAAGCAAATACTTTCAAGTGTGTTTTAACTGTCTTCAAGTTATGCTTCTGATAATATAATAGTAGAAAATTAATTTTTACCTCAAAACTGTATTTGACTACTAAATAACATAAGGAAACTTATTCTCCTTATTAAACAAAATAATTATAGATTGTAAAAATCAAATTTTATTTTTTAGACTTCCTAGTAATATTTCTCAAGAAGCATTGTATGGAAGAGAATTTATTTTTTATCTTTCCCAAACTCTACATCCACTTTTTTTTCATAATGGCAAATGGAACTTAGAGCTCAATGGCATGAAGAAAAATATGTTCTTTAAGTCCTAAGTCCAGAGAAAAATATGAACCTATAGTTCTGTTCAGTAAACCAAGTCTAGGCCCCAAAGAAAAAAAGATATTCAATGTATGCATGTGATAGAGGTGGTAGGAGATGTGAAGTGCATCCTGGGAGAAAGGGTGGATGGGATACAGGAGAAAGATGGGAGTGGTGACTCTAGTATTGGACACTTAGGTGGATGTGTTAAATTGTAACAACTTTGCACAACTTTCTGAAATTCAGAAATAAAATATTTTCAAGAAGAAGAGATTAAATGTCAAGAACCCCGAGTCCAAACTAAAGAACAAAAGTGCCTGCAACTGTAGAGAAAACTGAAAAGGGGGAATAAATGAAGAACTAACTCAGGCAATGATCTCAATTTTACAGTTTGATGAGTGAGCACCAGACTAAGAAAGTGTCAGTGCATAGAGAAGGTTGAAGGTGGTGGGGAGTCTTTCTGGAACCTTCAGACCAAGATGGATTTTCTTTAATGACCAGTAGTATTTGAGAGAAGTACAAATTATATCTCTCCCAGGATTTTATCTACCAGCAAAGTGGCTGGTCAGTGCTACTCCGCCTCTGTCAGTTATGGCAAAAACAAGAAGCAGTTGCCTTCTTTCCCTTCTCTAAGAAGGGAAAATGTAGTCATTCTCAGAACTCACATTCTAGAAGGCTCTTTTCCAACCCTCTTTCAACCACACATACCCAGAGCCAAGGAGTTTCCCAAGAAATAGAGCATGTCTCTCAGAGCTCAAGTCCCCATTCTTAAGCCACTCTAGATACCCATGAACCCACACTTGCTGCCTGATCAGTTTAAGTTTCTCTTCTAGCACATTAGGGGGATTTTTCTTATATCTGCTGCCCTCCTAAGAGAAAAATCTTTACTGATGTGTGCAACCTTAAGACCAAAAAAGCAGCCAATGCTGTCTGTTTGTTTTAAATGAAGAATGGTTTCACCTATGAGACCCTGCAGTTTAGGATGGAGTTGGCAATAGGAAGTGGAGAAAAGGCTCCTACCATCTGCAACAGATCACCAAAAAGCCCAGAAATCTGGTCTTCTAAAGCCAATCTGGTCTTCTAAATTATTATTTTTGTCAAGAGAAGACACCAAGGCACAGACTATTAAACAGTTTGCTAGTTTGATTGATAACTAAACATGTAAATCTATGGAAAGTAGTCCTCAATTTGTATATTTGTCCCAAGTTGCTCATGTGATTTTTTTTTCATGGCATGGCTCCAGGGGTAGACCAACAGACTTGAGCTAAAATCCCAAGTGAGAGTCACAAAGTCCTGAGATCAAGCCCTGGTACAGACACAAAAGAAAAAGGAAAAGAAATAACTAAAAAAAAACCCAGACATATACATTTTATTTTTGTTTATATACATGTATATGTGTGTATTTGTAGATGTATAGATGTCTGTGTGTCCATACATAGATACAAACAGATGGAAGGGGATTTTTGGGGGGTCCGGTCATGGGGCCTGAACTCTGGGCCTGGGCGCTGTCCCTCAGCTCTTCAGCTCAAGGCTAGCGTTCTACCCCTGGAGCCACAGCGCCACTTCCGGCTTTTTTCTTTTTGCTTATGTGGTGCTGAGGAATCGAACCCAGGGCCTCAGGCATGCAAGGCAAGCGCTCTACCACTGAGCCACCTTCCCAGCCCCGGAAGGGGATTTTTTAACTACTTTACAATATGTCAAAAACTGAGTTCATAATATGTATGCATTTCTACTTCATGGTAATCAAGGTAATCATTGGGTGACAACTGATAATGTTGTATGTGAACTTTACATCAGCAAAAGTTTCCAAATGTCAAATGTATCCTTATATCTATTTACTTTTACATCTTAGTGTATTAGACTTTCATCGGAAGAATCAAAGCATTCCCTAATGAACAGGTGTTCTGAGGCCAGGCTTAGGTTCAAATCCTAATGCTTCCCCTTTTCAGCTGTACAAGTATGACGAATTTACTTGAATCTTTCAAGTTCATCTTCTTTGAGATGCTGTTTAATGGGATTGTTTTGTGGATTAAAATAAAGAATGTTAATTATTAGGCATGTAGCAAGCACTCAAATATTATTCCTCGCGGTTTCTTTAGTACTATCCTCTGAGTTTTTATGAATGTGTTGTATATTGTATTAACTTTCTTTTTATAGGAAGATAAATGCAGAAAACTACTCACTCAACTGGGCAAAAATAAGAAATAGGAATAGACCAGGTCCTGGTCAAAGGTAATTCAGGATAAGTGAGTGCTAATTCATCAATCTACAATGTGTAATATTATATACCCTCTCTCCTTAAAGCACTTTGCCTTTTGGTCTCCGGGTATCTGTGATGCTACTCTTTTGCTTTTCCTCTGAACTCTTCCACTGCTTCTTATCTCATTGGTGAGTACTTGTTCTCTGCTCATGTGCTAAATCTTATTGATGCTTAGAATTCTGTCTTCAATGATCTTTTCTTATTCTGGATACTCTCCCTGGATGACCTCAGCCATTCTTCTTTTTTTAAATTATTATCTATATATCTTTATCTTCAATAATGTTTCTTCCATGCTTCAAGATGGCGTATATATATATATATGTATATATGTGTGTATACACATATATATTCCATATAGAGTATATATGTATGTCATACATATATCAGTTTCCTTGTTATGTTCCACTGAAATCGCAAAAACAAACATCAAAAACAGAGCATAGGCAGTCTGAATCGCGGTGTGAC